ATGCACATCTGCTTTATAGAGATCAATCACACCTGGAACCAGCATTGGTCTACCTGCCACAACTTAATAAGGACTAAGCCCAACGGTTTTGTTGCTAGTTGCCCTTATGCTACAAAGCACCACAGGCAAAGCTGCAGTCCATTTTACTCCCTGACAATGGAGTCAGCCGTTCTTTGATGACATGGTTTGCACGCTCTACCTGTCCTGAAGCTTGTGGTCTGTATGGACAGTGAAGTTTCCAGTTCACGTTCAGAAGTTTACAGACTGCCTGCACTACCTGTCCAGTAAAGTCAGTACCTTCATCAGACTCAATTTGCTCAGGAAGTCCCCATCTAGGAATAAAATCCTGCACCAGCATTTTAGCAATGTGTGCCCTTGGAAGTTGGGTAACCTTCAATCCAGTGAGAAAATGTATACACTATGATCAAAACATCTTGTTTTCCTTTGAATTTGGCAGTGTGATGTTGTCTACCTGTAAATGGCAAAATGGACCTGGAGGTGACACTGTGTTGAAAGCAGGAGTTTGCATCTGATGTGCAACATTGACTTGATTACAAGCATTTCTGCAGAAGTAAAGACTCAGAAGCAGTAGAACCTAGCTCACTAATGGCGAGTTTTTGGTAGAAGTGAAACAACGAACATACGTTCAATTTTTCATACAATGGAATGGGACTATTTTTCATCAAGACAAAATATGAAAATGAAGTCTTATGCAGATGTAGATGCGGTGATCATGTTCAGTATCACCAACTTTATGCAGATATTGCATGGAGAACAAGCCAAGGGGGAAGTCATGTACCAAGCATTTCCTCAGATAACCCAAGAGATAATGTTTTTTTCCCATCTCTTTTCACTTACTAGAATGCAGCTTTTTTGGAACTAGTCTATGTGTTTCCCTCAACCTGTGAGTGTAACTGGAGGAATCTCAGGGGCAGCACATCTGATCTCCAATTGTGACACATGCTCTGTCTTACAAGCTCATACCAGTAAACCGGTCAATATTTCCCTCTTGTCATAATGTTACTGTTCCAATGATCAGTAGCTGTTGTGTTCCTGATGAGAAGATATGTGACACCACTTCACTTCCGATAACAAACATTTCTGAACTTACTACCCGCAATAGCCTTCCTGCATCTTTGCAATATTGCTAAATTAAGAAATACACTGTCTCTACAGGATGCAGAAAAGCTAGTTCATGCATTTATTACCTCAAGTCTAGATTACTGTAATGTCCTGCTGTCTGGATATTCCAGCAAAAGCCTTATCAAGCTTCAGTTAGTCCAGAACGCTGCAGCCAGTGTCCTCACAAGAACCAGAAAGTTTGACCATATCAGCTCAGTTTTATCAAACCTACACTGGTTGCCTATTTAATTTCGTATTGATTACAAAATTCTTTTACTGACATATAAAGCTGTAAACAAACTTGCCCCACAGTACTTGAGTGAACTTCTCTCATACATGAATGAAGGGTAAAATAATTTTTGAAAAACATACGTTACCAAACGGTCGAATTGTCTCTTTAGGGTAAAAGTGTCTATGCTAAGCTAATGTAACTAGAACTGACTTCTTGCTTTGAAATAAAAATCTCTGATCATTCATTTTTGTTAATGTGATACATTTATTGTTATTCCATTGAATATATTTAATCAGAATCAAATTTATTGGCCAAGTATTTTAACACACACAAGGGATTTGGTTCTGGCTGTTGGTGTCTCTCTAACAAACTGATGTGTGGTATACTAACATATTACTAGACATATTACGTATAACTAATAACAGTACACGGTTTGTAACTTTTTTGTGTTTACAAATAATAGATGGACACTAAAATATTTTGTGTTGCAAGACCACGGACTGTCCTAGCCCTCATACCAGAAAATCCTCAAGAGTCTGATGTTGCTCTGAGTGATGATGATGACCAAATAGAGGATCCTGATTATTTGCCCACACAAGCAGAAGAGTCTGTAGAAACATCTTTTGAATCCATGGATGACAAGGACATTGCCTCAATAAGTTCATCTTCTAAACCACCACCCCATAAGAAGAAGACAAAAGGGAAAAACTCCCTAAAAACAGTTTCCTTAGAGGGGCCACAGGACACCAGTGACCCTTTACCCCCAGGCCTAAACAAATCTGGAAACATGAACACATTGAAACATTCCAGGTTCCTGATTCAAGATTTGAGCCCCCTGATGCTGTAAAGTCACCCTTCCAGTACTTCGAAACACTCTTCACTGACAAGATGATTGAACATATTGCTCAACAGACCAATCTATACTCTGCCCAAGAGTTGGGGGATCCAATCAGGACTAGTCCACAAGAGATTGAAGATTTCTTGGCAATACTACTCTTCATGGGTGTTTTCAGCTTCCCATCTATTGAAGACTACTGGCACCATGAGTCACGATTCAGTGTGATATCATGCTGATATCATGCTGAGGAAAAGATTCAGGCTGTTACGTCGGTTCATTCATTTCAATGATAATCAATAGTGGAATGACAGTCCAGACCGATTTTTTAAAAATCCGCCCCCTGTTTGAGATGCTTCGTGAGCAGTGCCTCCTCATCCCATCTACTTACAAGCACAGTATTGATGAGGTCATAGTGGCATATAAAGGCACAAGGGCTGGCACTCTTTGCCAGTATATTGCCAACAAACCAGACAAGTAGGGCTTTAAATTGTTCTGCCGGGCCAGTTCATCTGGAATCATCCATGACCTACTGCTCTATCACGGGGCATCCACATTTTTCAATATTGCCCTAAGTGAGCAGGAGCAAGAGCTGACTCTAGGGGCCAAACTGGTGACAGTGTTGTGCAAAACCATGACGCAACCACAGCTGTCAGTTGTCTTCTGTGACAACTACTTCACTAGCTTCAAGTTGATCCAGAACCCCTGCATGCAAACTTGGGTGTCAAATGCATCGGCACTGTCCAATCAAGCTGCAACAGTGGTATACCCTTGATTACAGACCAACAGCTGAGGAAGAAAGGACGTGGAGCTTTCGATTACAGGTCTTCTGATGGGGTGATTGCAGTGAAATGGTTTGACAACAAATGCGTCAACCTTCTGAGCAAAGCTTATGGGATCACACCTCTTTCCACTGTCAAACGGTGGAGCAAAGTTGACAATACAAAGATTGCTGTCCTTTGCCCATCACTTATTCATACCTACAATGAGCATATGGGAGGCATTGATCTTTCTGACATGCTGGTGCACATGTGCAAGACCCCTGCCAAGTCAAGGCTTTCCACTGTTTGGATACATCCTTGACCTGTGTGTCTCAAACTCCTGGCTGGTCTACAAGAGAGATTGTGACCTACTGAAGGAGAAACCAATGCCTCTCAAAAGGTTCCGCCTGGCAGTTGCCCACACTTTGAAGCAAGTCAACAAAACAGCATCCAAGGTTGGCCAACCAGCATCCTCCTCTCCACCACCGATGTCTCAGAAGAAACACTACATCCCACAACCCACACAACCACAACCAGATGTGCGTTATGACAACTGTGGACACATGCCACTTCATAATGTCAAGCGGGGGCGGTGCAACTTCTGTCCAAAGGGTGTGTCAAGATGGAAGTGTGAGAAATGCAACATTTTCTTGTGTCTGATTGCAAACCAGCAATGCTTCATAGCATACCACAAAAAATAAACTGGATCCAATGCTGAAAAACCATTAGTGCTGTTGCACCACCACGCAGATGAGTAAATATGTCTAAAAAGTCACAAAAGTTAACAAAGTTAGCATGTAATTGCAATTTATTATTATTATTATTATTATTATTATTATTATTATTATTATGTTCTGATTGTACTACAAAGATGTCTCAGAAGAAACACTACATACCATGACCCTCACAACCACAACCAGATGTGCTTTATGACAACCATGGACACATGCCACTTCACAGTGTTTTCTTGATGTGTAAATCTGTTTAAAAAGTCACAAAAGTTAACAAAGCTAACAAAGTTAGCATGTTATTGCACTTTAATGTATTTCTGGTTCATGTTCTGATTTTGCCACAGAGTGCCATCTCAACCATTTGGTAGAGGTGTATATTTTAAAAACTGTGGGGTCTTAAAAAAAAACAAAAACACCAGTTGTTTTTATTATTGCCCCAAACAAATAAAAAATACAAAAACAAAAAAAATTCCTTTGCTTTTTTCTTGGTGAGGACATTAAAGGGTTAAATCACAAGGTGCTGGCTTAGTACCTAGAATTAATAAAGTTACATCGGGGGGAGAGCCTTCTCATATAATAACAATCTTCCTGTCATTGTTCGGGACTCAGACACAGCCTCAGTCTTTAAGTCTAGGCTAAAAACTTAGTTTTCCCTGTTAGATAAAAGGTGCAGATCTGGGGGTTCATGGACATAGAATACCCACCATGGAGCTTCACGCTGTATAACGCTGTGCAAACCTCACCTGCATGAACTGACCCTCCTGATAATGATGATGCTGCTGCATAAACTCACATTATTTAATTTACCACTGCTCCACTTCCACCTGGATGCTATATATATATATATATATATTTTTATATATGTGTGCGTGTGTGTGTGTACGTGTGTGTGTATGTGTGTATGTGTGTGTGTATGTGTGTGTGTATATACTATAACTAATGTTCACTATCATGTTAGTAAAATACTCTTTACAGTAGAGCAAATGTGTGTTTGAAGATGCAGGATAGATTTTCATCAGAGGTGAATCCAGTGCTGAGTTCCTGCTAATGCTACAGTAGGTTATTGTGTTACCCAGCTAAATATTATTCTCTCATAATGTTACCTTACACTTTATCCTAGCAGTTTGCAACCCCAATGAAGTCACACCCCATTGAAAACCTACTGGCTAGGCCTCTGCAAGGCTGTGGTCCATACAAATGTGCATCACAATGGTGGCACAGCAGCTCTTGCTTGTAGCAGAGCACAAAAGTTCATACAACAATCAACACACTGACTACAAAAATGCCGAGGCTGAAGAAAGTATCTGATGAATCATTTTTTTTATTATTTATTCAATACATTTCAAAAGTGTGCAGTTGAGATCAACTATCAACTGCTGTCCAAAAGCACTCTGGCCTTTCAGAGTGAGATTTCACACAGATATGAAGTTCCAGGTGTCAAGCAGAGGAGCATATATCAAATTAAGGAACACCAGAGAAGCTTTATACAAGGTCCTATAAGAAACAAAAATGTGTAATGAATATGACATTATCCATTTTATTATAATTAATATCACATTATCATCTTTTTCACATATTAAATGCAGAAAAATGGCATCACTCTTTTTAAAAAACATTCTCACCTACACCTCTCCACTGTGCAGTTTGTGTTTGTTGCAAAAGATATGAGAAGCAGATCTGTCACATGACTCTAAATAAATGTGTACCTATGTTATTTTTCCTGAAAGACTGTTTTCGCAGTATTTCAGGTTTCACTAAACACTTTTTCTGCTAAAAAATTGTCAACATCCATAAAACATTACTGATACTTTCAGTTTACATAATGTACATGGATAAACTCTTAGAAGCATTAAAATGTTTTTTGGATGGAAATGGCTATGGAAACTCAAATGCACAGTGCTTGTGCTAATGATGCAGCTAGAGGCAGTTTAGAACTCTGTAGAAAGTGAGGTGACAGAGAACTTCAGCACTCGGTGACCTCGCTCTCTTACACTCCCCGAAAAAAAGGTATGAAACTGTCACTCTAGCAGTACTCCTCTTTTCTCTGGGGTGGGACTATGAAGGGTACATCTCAGTACCTTTAGTCAGGGAACATAATTGAACCATAATCTATTGAAATTGACTTTTTAAGTTGTATTGACTCCACACACCATGTCTCATCTCATCAGGCTTTTTATTTTAGTCTTCTGTTTTAAAACATTAGGTTATAAAAAGGTACAAATATGTTCTTTTCACCAGTGAAAAACGTATTTAAGGTACACAACTGGACCTTAAAACCACTGTTTTACCTTTAAGGTACATTTACATCGTTTGTGCCTTGGTGAACAAAAATGTACCTGCACAGAACCTTTATTTCTAACAGTGTAGGTGCTTCCATTTCATAATAATAGCATTTACAGTTGACTAGGGCAACTCACACGCGATCACTCAGGTTTGTGGACGGCGGAGCGGAGGAATGCCAGATTGTCTCAGGGTGCTCCCGTGTCTGTGTGCCCTTTTGGTTCTCTCCTTTTAGTTAAGCTGTTATAGTCAGATCTGCCGGAGTCGTTAGCCACACTCTGGAAATGTTTTACATACTACTATACATACACCCATACAGAAATAAACTAACTCCATTTCCCTACCTTTCTTCCGAGAAAACGACTGCTCACCTGTCCGGCCGGACACTGCTGGATGATTGTTTGTAGAGCTCTCCGGCTACCCGCTTCAGACCAGTTACCCACAACCCAGTCACCGCCACCTGCCTTGGACTGGCTGCCCACTCTACGCTGAAGTCTCCTAACTATTACTACTATTACTATTAATATTAGTAGAATAATAATTTTGTACGTAGTTTGACCAGAGGAGGATGGGTCCCCCCATGTGAGCCTTGGTTCCTCCCAAGGTTTCTTCCTCAACTGAGGGAGTTTTTCCTTGCCACTGTCGCCCCTGGCTTGCTCACCTGGAGGATTTACATTTCATGTTGAAACTTTGTTCTAAACGGATTTCTGTGAAGCTGCTTTGTGACAACATCAGTTGTAAAAAGCGCTATACAAATAAATTTGATTTGATTTGATTTGATCTAGCTGGGCAGAATTTCACAAACTAACTTGTGGCAAATGTGGTATCATATGACAGTGCCATGTTTAAAGTCACTGAGCTCTTCAGTACTTTAGATGACCCTTTCTACTGCCAGTGTTTTTCTATGGATATTGCATGGCTATAATAACTAGGAGGGCTGTCCACAAACTAAAGCCATATAGTGCAGTTTAACTGAATAAAAAAGCTGCAGTTTTTTATACAGGCTGTGTGCTTTTTCCTGTAGTGCTTTAAATGCCTAAAAAAAATGCTCAAAAAAAAAAATGCTCAAAATGTATGTATATATATGTGTATATATATATATATATATATATATATATGTGTGTGTATATATGTATATATCAGCCAATACTGACATATACAAGGTCTCTTCATCAGTACGAGAAAAGAAAAACTGATATAGTGCCACCCCTAAACAATGAAACAAACAAATATATAAAGTGTTTCGACCTACCATAATGAGTCACGCATCTCTTGTTCATCCATGAAATTCAAAAACCCAAAAAATGCTTCTACAAACACTCTATAGGTTGGAACAGAAAAGAATAAAGGTTAAATGAAGAGGTACTTTGTCACTGAAGAGAAATCATGACATTTTAACACATTTCTGATCTGTATCACCTTTAATAGACTTTGCACATTAAGACACATCACAAATCTTAGGCTATAGCTTCATGGCAGAAAAGGCTGACTAGGATAATATATTTGGAGCATGTTGTGATGTAACACAGTAAATAAACCCAGGCCAGAGGAAATGAGTATTTAATCAGCTGGTTCAGAACACCTGTTCCTCATTCCCGTAAAGAATTTGTTTTTTTTTCACCATCTACAGTCCATAATACTATTAAAACATTCAGAGAATCTGGAGAAATCTCTCCACATAAAGGGCAAGACCAAAAACCAATATTAAATGCAAGTGATTTTAAATCCCTCAGATGGCACTGCACCAACTAACCTGCTTCTGTAAGGGGTATAACTACGAGTGTTCTGGAATACTTTCGAAAACCCTTGTCAGTAAACACAGTTCATCGCTGCATCTACAAATGCAAGTTAAGACTCTTCCATGCAAAGTCGAAGCCATCTATCAACAAGTAGACTGAATCGCGTAGACTGATGCAAAGTGGAAAAAGCCAGGGTCTATCATAGTATGGGAGTGTGTTAGTGCCAATGCCATGGTTAACTTGTAGATCTGTGAAGGCACCATGATTGCTGAGGGGTACATACATATTTTGGAACAATACCATATGCTGCCATCCAGATAATTTTTTTCAGAGACATTTCTGCTTGTTTCAGCAAGACAATGCCAAGCCACATTCTGCACGTGTTACAACAGTGTGGGTTCATAGTAAGTCCAGGTGGTAAACTGGCATGCCTGCAGTCCTGACTGTTCTCTCATTGCAAACATGAGGCACATTATGAAGCACAATATACGACAACAGAGATTCTGGACTGCTGAGCAGCTGAAGTGTTATATTAAGCAAAAATAGGAAAAAAATCCACTTTTACAAGTACAACAGCTGGTGTCCTCACTTACCAAATTATTACTAAACCTTGTTAAAAGAAAATGAAATGTAACACCATTGTAAACATGTCCCTGTCCCAACTTTTTAGAACATGTTGCAGGCATCAAATTTAGATTAGGTGTATATTTACAAAAAACAATATTTATTTGAGGTAAATTAGCCAAAATATTACATAGCTTGTCCTTGTACTGTTTTCAATTGAATAGAACAGTTCTATTATTTAGAACTATTACTCAATAATTCTCTCTTTCTTTCCATACCTTTCAGATTCTTTCAGTTCCTCCTGAGTAATCAGTCCACTGGCCAGCAGTTTTTCAGTGCACATCTTTCTCATTCGTTCCAAGTTCCTGTGAAATATACAGAGCAAAGACAGAGAGATGTTTGTCATTGACACTCAAAAGAAATTTGCATTATTTACATTTTTTGATCAGTACAGATTACAAATTACAGATTACAAAACTGACTTTTTTGTGGTTTTATTAAATTTGCTTGACCTGGGATTGTTGCAAAAAGAAATTATTAAACGGTTTTTAAAGTTGTGTGTTTGTGTTGAAAGCTTACTTATGTGCAGCGTTCTATGCGCTATATTGTTTTAAATGATTTTAAATTAATAGTCATGATTTCTTCTATTACTATTAAGCTTTTTCACCTGTCTGTAAAGCATTTTGGGCTTCCACCAGCATGAAAAGTGTTATATAAATAAAGATTATTTTTATTACTATTATTATTATTCAGTATGACTTAGAAAATATTGCAGATATATGCAGACATATGCAAGTGAGGGTGCCACAAATCCTCTAAGGGGATATATATATATATATATATATATATATATGTATGTATATATATATATATATATATATATGGCTTCATTTCATAATTTAATGTAAAATTTACTCCAATTTACACAGAGGAGAAGGCCTAATTTTTCTGGGAACGAAAAAAAAAAAAGGATTACTGTACTACTGTGGTTTCATTGCTTAGTTTAGGATGGAAACAAAAGGGTTCAATTCTTGAAGCATCTGTAAGAAAATTGGCCAATGAGGAACTGTTTTTCTCAGCAGTATTCAGGTAGTTTTAGCTAAGTAAGTTCTGCTATTAGACTCCACGACAGTGAGAGCTATTATCCACAAACAGAGAAAGCGTGGAACAGTGGTAAACCTTCTCAGGAGTGGCTGGCCTACCACAATTTCACCAAGATCGCATTGATGACTCATCCACTAGGTCACAAAAGAACCCAGACAAACATCTAAAGAACTCCAGGCCTCACTTGCCTCAGTTTAGGTGAATGTACATGATTCCACAATAAGATAGACACTGAGCAAAAATACCATTGGTAGGAGAGTTGCAAGGCACAAATCTCTACTGACCAAAGGCTCGTCTCGCATTTGCCAAAAAAACATCTAGATGACCTTCAAGACTTTTGGGACAATATTCTGTGGACTGAAGAGTCAAAGGTTGAACTTTTTGGAAGATGTGGGTCCTGTTACATCTGGCGTAAAACTAACACTGCATTCCACCATAAGAGCATTATACCTACAGTCAAACATGGCGGTGGTAGTGTGATGGTCTGGGGCTGATTTGCTTCTGCAGGATTTGGACGACTTGTCAATAGATGGAACCATGAATTCTGCTCTCTATCAGAAAATCCTAAAGGAAAATGTCTGCCTATCAGCTCCTGACCTAAAGCTCAAGCACATTTAGATTATGCAGCAGAACTAAGATCTAAAGCACACAGATAAGTCCACCTCTGAACGGCTCAAAAGAAACAAAATTACAGTTTTGGAGTGGCTGAGTCAAAGTCCTGACTTGAATCCCATCTCAGAACCGTTAACAGTCAGTTCATGCTTGAAAAACCCTCCAATGTAGCCAAATTAAAACAGTTCTGCAAGAAAGAGTGGGGCAGAATTCCTCCACAATGATGTAAAAGACTCATTGCAAGTTATCGCAATCATTTGACTGCAGTTGTTACAGCCAAGGGTGGCACAACCAGTTATTAGGTTTAGGGGGGCAATTTTTTTTCACCTGGGTGATATAGGTTTTGAATAAATCTTTATCTTCAATAAATGGAATAATCAGTTAAAAGCTGCATTTTGTGTTTACTTGCATTGTTAATCTTATAATAAAATTTGTTGAATATCTGAAACATTTAGAGAGAGAGAGAGAGAGAGAGAGAGAGAGAGAGAGAGAGAGATTTTTTTCCCCACACTATCATTTTCACCCTGTAGCTTTTTATTCTGTTTTCTGGTACTGAAGAAATTGTTATTTGGTATTGATAACAATATGTAACAAAAATGAAATAAAATGTAAAGTTTGTTATTTCTTACACTGTATTGTGTAAATTTTGTCCAAGATGTTTATTACAGTACTTACTTAGCAAGTTCTTCTCTGTCACTGTCATCAACAATTTCATTGATTAGTTGTTTTGAGTAGTTTGAAAACAATCGTGCACAAGCCCTTTAAAAAAAAACAAAACAGTTTAGTCCATGTTAAAGTTGATTAATCCATGGTAATGAAAAAATACAGTAATCATGCTACATTTGTACCTCACTTGTGGAAGCAGGAACACTGTTGTATTTGCTCTCTCTTCCTGTATGACTCTATAAGCCTCTTCTCTGAAAGGTTTCCAGCGTTCCATGACTTCACCTCTGTGAGACAATCAAAAAGACCAGGAATTTGTGTTTGAAGCACCATGAGATAAATAAACTAAAACTAACTTAACATTGCGAACAACCAAAGACACTGAAAAAGACTGGCAACAGATTAGTGGATTTCTGCACAATTTTCTCTTATGCTAAGCTTGCCACTATTTTGTGGCCAGTAGTTTGAAACAAATGTTTTGTTTTTTTGTTTTTTTTTGCTTGAGAGTGCATGTGTTGGTTTTTACCCTCTTCACTCCCAGATTAGAGATGCATTTGTGCAATAAATTTGTCTATAACAAAAGGTTGTAACAAAATATAAAAAATACCTTTCAAATAACTGTAAACATACTTTTTAAAAATTCTGTTGCTTTTAACTTCTGTGCTTTTAAAATGCTTTCATAAATACAGCATGGAATGTGTTGTATATATTAAACCATTATTAGGACAGAATTACTGGTTATTTTTTTCTAACCAAATGTTTGTAATTATAGAGAATATTCTAGATAAAGAAGCAGAAGAAAACATAATGAACTTTCAGTATAACTCGATTAGGGCTGAAATACTAGTAGGAAGAGTTTCATTTAAATGTTTTTAAACCAGAAAATTAGCCTAAATATAACATTGTACATTGTACATAATCAAATGAAGGTGCAGCTCCATGTGAAAATCACCTAATGTAAGATATCTCATTCATTCATTTAGGTCATGCAGTGAAAATCAATTCTTGTTGCACTTACTTGAAAGTCTCAAACTCTTCCTCTCCTATAAGAGCAAAGCATATATTCGAAGCTCTGTAGTACAGGGTTTCAATCACAGGAAACACATCCATTTCATCCAGCTTTACACAAATGGGAGCAAACACAAGAATACCTACATTGTTTAAGGCCCTGAAAGTATTAGGAGATGGAAATATATGGTTAGTGTATGCAGTGCATGCTACAACATGCCTTAATAATATAAAAATCCACAAAAACTTTCTCCTACAGTTGTTCAATCAACACTTAAGATTCAGGGGCTATATTACAGAAACGTCTTAAGTCTGAAATATTATCTGCTTAGTCACCATGACAACCTTAGTTAGGACTGAATTTAGGACAGAAGCTATTACAGAACAACAGTTCATAAGTTCATAATCTTATCGATTAACTCCAGATAAGAAACCACTATTACAGAAACATCCTAACTAGACAAAATTTCCTAAATACTGTCCTGACTTAAAGACAACCCCAGAGGTGTCTTAACGTCTGTTTTAATCGTCTGTTTCTATTGTTTTATTCAGTGACAGGCAGCATAGTTCACTATAAATAGCATAATGATGCTACATTTATCTACATTGAAATCTGTGCTTTGACTTGTGTTTGTTTTTTCTAACAGCGTTTTAAAAACCCCCAGACACTGCAGACACAATCTCCACCATCCCGTTATTACCTTTGTGTGTTAATCTTGATGAAAACGTATCAAAATATTACAGATGGTGGTGAATAATGAGGAGACAGAGCTGAATGTATGTCTGTTTATTAGGAGGAATAATGTTAGTGCACTCAGCTGAAGTGACTGGCAAATGAAACTGAAACTGTGGAGCGGCGACGCTCTGATAAACAGCAAAAAGCGCTGTGACAATATTCTTAACTTTCCGTTTATTGTGCTTTAGTTTTGTTTGACCTTTTATTTTTTACCTCATACAATTTTCATGCAACTTTTGTTGCTTGAATCTGACATGAAATTAAATTGCATTTGAGATGCAAAATGTAAGGCGTCCTGCAACTTACTTAAAACTCTGCTGCAACAGTTGCAAGCAGCTTATCTTTGTGGAACATGAAACAGCCAATCAAAACACTGATAATGCGTGATGCGATGCAACCGAACAGCACATTTTCAAACCATTTATTTCAGCAAAGGACCAATGGCCAAGGAAAGATGGAAGATGAGGGATTTTCATTTTGTCAGTTTAAGAAAAACTAGCCAGCTGATACTAACAACTGTTTAAACAGCTGCTTGACAGCAGCTAATATGTGTTATCTACATAGCTAGATTTATTTTCTCCTCTCTAGATGCCTCCTAATTTTACACAGAGACCAGATTCATTGGTATGCAAAGGATGAAAATTATTACACAAGTAGAGACTGCGATGTGGTACTCAATGATCTTAACAAATAAAAATTGAATTAAATGAAATAACATTAAGTTAAGCCATGATGGAAATTATCAATTAGATCCTCAACTAGCAGTGAACAGATTTTAGTTAAACATGTAGAGAAATTACTGTTTTATTCCTTGTAAAGGTTTTGTTGATACTAATGGTTTCAGGTTCCAGTCACCTCAGACGGAGGCATCACACTTGACTGGTCTTAAAATTTCACCTTACCCCGAGACCCGGGTCCAAATTATGTCAAGACCGAGACAAGACTCAGCCCAGTAATTTACACATTCAAGACCAAGACTAGTTAAGACCGTGTTCACCATCAGTGTTCACCAGCCGTACTCCGAAGATCTGCCTTCCTGCAGATTTTAACTCCAACCATAATCAACCCCACCTGGTTTATCTAATAAACACGGTAATCAGAAACTGAATACACTCTCCTAAATGTATTTAGTAATGTATTCCATTATGATACAGGCAGGTAACGCAGATTAGGGAATGTATTAAGAACACATTTAGAAGACATATTGAGTCACATGGGAAAAAATAAACTTTTCATGAAAATTTGGCTTAAATGGAGTTCCAAAATTCTCTCACAATCCCACAAGCAGGAGTCCAGATACTTCATTCCTGTATTGTGAATATGTATCCCATGACTTGTATTATGTCATATCCAAACTCTGCTAATAACTGACTATAAAAGTGCTTGATTAGATGAGTGAAGTAGGTTACATCTGAGTTGGAGGTGAAACTTGCAGGAGGGTATCTCTAGGAAAAGGTTGGTGACCACTGATTTACATTGATAGAATGTGTACTAACACCCCACCAACCTTGGAAAATCCACACATAGGATTGCCTCCTAGAAACAGTGCAATGATTAAAGAAATGACTTTAAACTCAAAATCAAGAAGAACAAAAACCCCAAAAATCTACCTTTAGCTGATGATCCTGTGTTAGCAAATAAGCTATCTTAATGTGTGATCTGATCATGTGTTAATGATAATATTTCAATAATCGTACCACTCTCTCTAGAAAGTCTAGATTAAATCTCAACAAATCTGCTCTTACCTTTCAGTTTTCTGTCCCCTCTCATGACCAATATACCGACCCGCTCGAAAGGCTATTTCCAAGGCAGCTATATAGATGTCTGTAAAATACTCCAAATGTAACCTGAAAAGTAAACACTACATTATGGAAGAGCATTTAAATAGTTTTAAAACATATAATTTTCAAACAGAAATACTGAGTTTTAATGAGTAATTATTTGAGCCTAATTACCCATAGCATATTTCTATCAGAACTTCTTGAACTGCTCACTCTGAACTAGGGCGTCATTGTGTCATTTATACAGCTAGCTATTGTAAGCATACAGGAGGTATTTACTAAGGTGCAGTGGCATCTCTACATTAGGGGCCAGATGTATGCATGTATATATGTCGTTTTTTATGGTATGGGCGTTGCTACACAGCTAGCCATTGTTCCTCATTAGTTGTGGTAGCCACTCATTATAGCAAGACAATATAATGAGTCAAGTCGTAAATGTAATAAAGGTTAAGTTTGGTACTCTGCCATTAGAGCAGAAATTAGAGATTAAACATTAGGGACCACCAGCCAGAGGATTTCAACATCATTCTTCAATCCAGAATGGTTTAAGAGATGGCTAACTGCGAGTGTAGCTAAAAACACCCTTCTGCTTTCCTTGCCTTACCCATGCTATGGTATAACTTGAATTCATTCACGGATTGGTGGACTTTGAGAGAAAGGTTTTTGACAAGTTTGACCTGATGAAAGATCGTCGTGCCTCTTTTCTTTTCACACAGTGAACGTCACTGGTGAGTCATTCTGCATTATTACAAGGCGTGTCATTCCTAATGCCCAGAAAGCAGTGTGTTTCTCTGCTCTGATATGTTGCTTTGGATGCGTAGTTGCAGACCACAATGATCATGTCCTGCTAGATAACTTTGGATTTGTAATGCAATGCTGTATAACACGGTTTTGTGAGATTTAAAGTCGTTATCATATCACTCATAATCCACTTCTACTAACTCTTGCACCATGTTACGTTAATTTGTGAGTTTGTAATTTCATTGATGGAGTGCGTTTGTATATGGATTAGGTTTGTGTGTAGTTTTGTTGAGGAGTTGGCTGCTGCCCCTACAGTTTATTGTGCACCACCAGGCTTTCTCTGCCAGAGATGCCACTGTTAAGTTGTGTTAGTTAACATCTGTGTCTCAAAACAAAACCATCCATTTAAAATGAACCATGAAACACTCTGGTGATCTTTAGGCCTACATAGATGGCCAGGCCATAATAGAGTTGTTCTTTTTTTAGGCCAGACCTGTACATATGACTGCAAAAAACAACTGAATTCTGTATTAAAGTTATTCAAATTAATTAAGTTATTAAAACTCACTGTGCTCAAAACTCAATGTGATCATGCACATTTTTTTGCATTTGCCTTTGTGATATTTAATTTTTAGGTTTTTTTATATTTATTTGGTTAGTGATATATAATTATTATTGTTTTTAGCACCAAGACTCCATAACATAATTTTTGGAAATTTTCAGTGGGTCCTCAAGCAAAACATTTTATCATTAAAAAACAGGGAACTAGAGGCCCCCAAGTGGTGCAACCGTCTAAGCGTTGGCCCTATCATCACGAGATCACGAGTTCGATCCTTGGTGATGCTACAGCCATCCGCAGTCCGGGAGTCCAAGAGAGCACAATTGGCCTCGCTCTCTCTGGGTGGGTAAGATGGCCCCCCATCACCCAATGTGATGCTAGTCAGTGCAGGCGTCTGTTAGGTGACGTAACAGAACTGGCGGTTGGCGCTTTCCTCCGATCTGCTGTCCAATGATGTTGCGTGAGCGGCAGTTCGAAAAGATGCAGTGGCAGGTCTAGGGCTGGTAGTATCGTATGATTGGGGTCCTAACTAGCGGGTGGAATTGGAAACGACTAAATTGGGGAGAAAATTGGGTAAAAATCCAAAAAAATTATATATTAAAAAAAGGGAACAAAAAAATCAAGTAAATAAAGTGGACACTATATTAGGCTTTAAAAAGTTTGCTAGCAAGATAAGTAACAATGGAGGTGAGGAGGCTGGATGCATGTGCAAATTCCATTTTTTTTTTTACAAAGAAAAATAAACAGGAGTAAAACATAGACTTAAACACAAAGGAAGACAAAAGAAAAAACAAAAATGAGACAAACTATAAGTACAGATACAGATCACAAAAAACGGTCACATTAACAATGTAAGCCAAAAGAACTGAACAAACCCAGGAGTATAAATATACTGAGAACAAACAAGAAACACGTGGGTGTAATAACGAGAGATTGCAAGACTACAAGTGAGACAGATAACAAGGAGGCAGGACAGGGGAGGAGTCAGGAACAAAAACAACAACAAAAGCACATGGCTAGGGACAGGTGACAAAGTGCCCTAGGGCAGGAACACAAAAGGTCATAGACAGACCAGGAAATCTATGACAATAAGTCAGTGAAAGATATCGTAACATCTTCAAGACATGTTAATGCTAAGTTTAGAGTGTTAGTTCTAGAGCATGTGTTCATGGAATTTATTCTATAAGTAATTGTCTAGTCCTCCATACCATGCGTTTATGCCTGTACAAGAGGAAGAACTGAGGGAGTCGGGGCTGCGGACACGAGGAGGGTCTAACTGCAGAACCGCAGTATTGCATTTTCAGACCCATACTGTCAGCGCCAGATATGATGTTACACAGTGGTCATGAGGCTTATTACCTACTGTACGTTGCAAACAAGGAGGGCACAGAAGGCAGTACGTAACTTTTGTAGTTGTATTTATTTAGTCGTATCCATTCCACCCACTAGCTAGGACTCCCACAATTACACAATACCACCAGCATTAGGAGAATGAAGGCTAACACAATCTAGCATCACACTGAGTGATGGGGGAGAGTGAGGGCTCTCCTACCCACCCACAGTGGGACAGCGAGGCCAATTGTGCTGTCTTAGACTCCTGGCCATGGATGGCTGTAAAATCAATGGGGTTCAAACTTGCAACCTTCTAAAAATAGGGCCAAAGCTTTGACTGTTGCACCACTTGAGAGCCACATAATGTTTCTAGAAATCCATGAAAACTACGGCTGAGTCCCAAATGGCTCATTTATCCCTATATAATGCACTATGTGAGTTATGAAGTTTTGGCTTCTGCACAAAAATAAAGCATGACATGTCCTGTAGGGAACTGTGCACATGTGGCTGAATCTCAAAAGAGAAGTGAAAAAAGAGTCTGAGAGGGAAGGGAGGGCCTCGGCTTGAGCTAACGGGCATCCTCAGTCAACTTGTTTAGCTGTCGCAAGGCTGAGAGGCAGAGACAAAAACAGACAGCATGCTAGCTAAATGGTTTGCTGTTTCTTATTAGTTAAGAACAGCAATAAATCTGTGAGAATACAATACAGAACATTGAAATATTGAAATAATGACAGATGCATAATCCTGAGCAAGAATTATGTTCACCTATCAAAGTTATTTTACTGTTGATTGAGCCACTTTGTTAACAATAGAATATAAATTTGGCTTTCCATTTAGTAAATGTCTCTGTATCATCACTGCTACCTAAGGTAAGCTGAAATCCAGTCAGACCCATCTCTCTGTACCCTTATCTGACATACCATTGCAGTTGATTATCTATATCATGGCATCTTTGGGACATCAATACTCATTAAATAAAGAGTTCTGGGACTAATGAAGACCCTAGACTACAGCCCGATTACCAGGGCCTAGGCACACCCCTGACTTGTACACTAAACAAGTTGATGGCCATATTGATTTAGCTGCTCCGTTGAAATTGAATATTGGTTTAACACTGCTGGCATAAAAAAGCAAAGGATACTCGCTAGCATATAAAACTAGGTTGAGAACTTGTTTGATAGCACTAAGACTGACTACGTTTATTATTAACAACTTTGTAGGGTTATCATTCCATGCAAGGATTTTGTTTCAAAATGTTCCACTGCCATATATGGAAACTAAGCTGCAAAAACAGCCCATTTTGAATTTCTGTGATCTCATGAGAACCAGCTCATTTACATCTGTTCATCTATTCAATCTACAGCAGTTTAGTCCCACCCATTCATGCTGAAGTTATAAAGAGTGCTCTTTGAATCAGGCATAATACAATCAGAACAGAGTTAATTGATATATTTCAGTCTTAAGGGCACAGTCCAGCAAAAACAGCCTGTTTGATTCTAAGGGCTAAAGAGAGGTTGGAAAATGGGCGTGTAAAATTTATTTATTTTTGGTACAAAAAACACCACAAGTAAGTGGACTTGAAATGAAATGAAATAGGACAAATAGGACAAAATGCAGGAAACTTTAATATGTTAAATTGAATTCTTAATGGGAAATAGCTTACTTTTAAAATGCTTATGGTGAAGATAGAAATGCAGAGATCATCTGATTAGATAATCTTTTCATAAGTCTTATTTGCTAACTGTTAACGTTTATCTGAAAGCATTATGCTAACATGTTCATCTGAATAGTTTTCACATAAAACAGTGTTCCTTAATCCCAACACAATTCAACTCATGAAGGGTCTGATAATCAGTTGATATAAAATGTAAAGCTGCCTACAACACGATCTTGCTACAGCAATTAAGCAGTTTAAGAATGACAAAACCCTTAATAGGAAATAGATTGTTGGCTCATTCACTGTTCAATGGATTAATTACCACCCATTTGAAAAGTAACTTGACTTAACTGACACCTGATTTTTTTTTTCCAAATATTGTGTTTATCAGTGAGAAAACCCAAATTATACACAACATATGTGAGAAATCCTTACCAAGTAGCCTCTCTGATCAAATCTGCTTCAACTACTGGTCGGATGAGTTCTAGCATTTCATCCATTGTTTTCCACACCCTGCTATTATTTAATTCACTGTGGGGAAAAAAATATATATATTGTTAGTTTTTTCCCCAAATGTTAAATTATATGCAGATTAATTTTTGCATAAGCACACTGTCTCTTATTATTTGACATTAGTGCATCAAAATCATTATATTAATCAACATTAGATATATTATTAGATATACAACCCCACTTCCAAAAAAGTTGGGATGTTCTGTAAAATGTAAATAAAAGTAAATGCAAACAGAAGGCACTGATTTGCAAACCTCATAGACCCATATTTTATTAACAAATGAAACATAGAACACATATCAGATGTTGAAAGTGAGACATTTTACCATTTCATGAAAAACATTAACTTATTTAGAACTTGATGAGTGCAACGCATCCCAAAAAAGTTGGTACAGGGGCAACAAAAGGCTAGAAAAGTAAGTGGTACTAATAAAAAAACAGCTGGAGGAGCAATTTGCAACTAATGCACGTGACTGGGTATAAAAAGAAAGTTTTAGCAAGGCAGCGTTTCTCAGAAGCAAAGAAGGGCTTTGCTGTGTCTAAAAATTGTGGAACAATTTCAGAAAAATGTTCCTCAACGTAAAACTGTGAAGACTTTGGATATCCCACCATCTACAGTACACAAAGATCTGGAGAAATCCTTATACACAAGGGACAAGGCCGATGGTCAATATTAGATGCTCGTGATCTTCAGGTCCTCAGGCGGTACTGCATTAAAACAGGCATGATTCTGTACTGGAAATCACTGCATGAACACAGGAACATTTCCAGAAATCATTGTCTGTGAACACAGTTCGTCGTGCCATCCACAAATGCAAGTTAAAGCTGTATCATGCAAAGAAAAAGCCATGTGTCAACACGATACAGAAACACCGCCATCCTCTCTGGGCCAAAGCTCATTTAAAATGGACTGAGGCAAAATGGAACACTGTTCTGTGGTCAGATGAATCAAAATTTTAAATTATTTTATGGAAACCACAGACCGTGTCCTGCGGACTCAAGAGGAGAGGGACCATCCACCTTGTTATCAGTGCACAGTTCAAAAGCCTGCATCTCTGATTGTATGGGGTTGCATTAGTGCCTATGGCGTGGGCAGCTTACACATCTGGAAAGGCATTATCAATGCTGAACAGTATATAGAGGTTTTAGAACAACATATGCTCCCATCCAGACGCCGTCTCTTTCAGGGAAGGCCTTGCATATTTCAGCAAGACAATGCTAAACCACATACTGCATCCATCACAACAGCATGGCTTCGCGGAAGAAGAGTCTGGGTGCTGAACTGGCCTGTCTGCGGTCCAGACCTTTCACCAAAAGAAAACATTTGGCGCATCATGAAATGAAAGATCCGGCAAATGAGACCCAGGACTGTTGAGCAGCTAGAATCCTACAACAGACAAGAATGGGATAACTTTCTTCTCCCAAAACTCCAGCAGTTGGTTTCCTCGCTTCCCAGACATTTACAGACTGTGGTTAAAAGAAGAGGGGATGGTAGACATGGCCCTGTCCCAACTTTTATGAGATACGCTGCTGCCATCAAGTTCTAAAAAAGTTAATATTTTTCATGAAATGGTAAAATGTCTCACTTTCAGCATCTGATATGTGTTCTATGTTCCATTGTGAATACAATATGACCCATATATGAGGTTTGCAAATCATCACATTCTGTTTTTATTTACATTTTACAAAGCATCCCAACTTTTTTGGAATTGGCGTTGTATATCTACCCACAGATATTTAATGTTGAGAAATCAAGGGACTGTGAAGCTTCAGCTGACATTTCTTTAAGTAGTTAATGGTGGATTTTAAGGTCTGGTTTGGATCACTGTTTCTTGACTGACTGTCATATTTTCTTCCAGACTTTTCTGATATTTAGTCTGTTCTTCCATCTACCTCTGCAATGTTTTCTTGTGCTACAGCTCTTATTGACAAAGATATATGACTGTCAGCAAATGACTATTCCAGATTAATAAATTCTCTGAACTCTTCAAATATTGTGCACACTCAACAAACACAACAAACATGGGCTCTTCTAAGCCAGTGGATCCCAACCCTGGTCCTGAAGTACCCCATGCCCTGCATATTTTAGTTTCCCCTGCTCCCAACCCACCTGATCCAACTAAGTTAATTAGCCAGCCATTCTTGTGCTGAAGTGGGTGTTTTAGCACAGGGTAAAAAATGTGCAAGGCAGGTGGTACTTCAGGATCAGGGTTGGGAACCCAGGGTTGGGTAGCTGGCTGAGGATCAGAAAATTAATATACAATAATAGATTTACGCTTATTACCCATTGGCTTTGTCTCAGAGGAAATGAACTATAGTACAGTTATACTTACTCTTCTGCCTGTTCGACTTTCTGGGAAAATTCAGGAGATTCAGTGTATTCAAGAAATCTATCCCAGTAATAAGCACACACTCTAGCAGCAACACTATGAAGAAAGAAAGAAATGTTAGAGTTTGGTCTCTGTGTCTAAAGCATATTAATACACCAGACTACAGTGTTTGATGGGTTTCATTTATCAGCATTCCATATGTGATTATACAAAAACAGCACACTCTGAACATAAGATCTTAATAACTCAGCAGTCTACAATACAAGTGTTTTAACAATATGGACAACATCCCTTTATTATCATGAAAACTAAAAAATCATGTATCAACATTGTCTGTCTTCTCGACTGTTAGTCTTCCTAACTGATCAGTCAATAGCATGTTTGATCCTCATAGCTTAGATGATTAATGATTCATTGATCTGGTCACTGTCAAATATCTTATTCTAATTAGTCAAATTTCATCTCAAAAATGTGGGAAGAGATTTTTGCATTTTTGGTAAGTATCCAAATAATTTTTACACAGGTCTTTATTTGAAAAAAGAGGATTATTAATGAAATATCAGTACTGACAGAATCCCTATTATATGGCCAACATTAAAAGGGAAAGACCAAGTATTTGCATGTTATTTCCATTTTTGTTGACAGTCCACTGCTGAAATCAATTACTTAATCGGTCTTTTACAAGCCCTTAACAGTATAAATGTATGAACCTCAAACACAATAATTATGCTAAAATTCAGCTACCCTGCCCACCACAGTAAGTAAGAAATTGCTGAATTGAAAATAGGTGGGAAATCATTAGTGATATTTTGCTGATACATCGACAAACATCAAAACTGTCATTTTAAATGATTAATTCATCAAATACATTCAGCAAGTGAGCATGATCCTGAAAAATGCTGCTCACCTTACTGATACAAGTAATTCGTCTTTCTCTTTCTGTCTCTCCACAGGCTCGAATTCAGCGGCTTTCTCTCTGACTGCATCCACAACAGACTTTAGGCTTGGAAACATAAAGAATATTTGTTGTCATATTACAGCATGTGAGAGACCTTCCCTACTAAACACTAGAGAACTTCAAAAGACAAACTGGATATGCAACCATTCAGCCTACTCACACTGTTATTTTTCGACCCCGTCCTAAATGTCTCATTTGGTGCTCAGAGCAAAAACATACTGAACCTGCACCCTGGAGTTGTTCACATTCCCCCCTCTACTTCTCAGATCATCATTTTCTTTGTTTCACAATTTTCCTCTCTGGGTACTGTGTCCACATCACCCCAACCTCTACTTCACCCATCCTTCTCCCTCATCAGAACTATCCCACCACAACTTCCCCTAATGTTTTCTCTTTCTCTGGAAATTGCTTTTAGACAGTTGAGAGGGGGAGAATGACTCCATGTGTTTTTCTCCTCTTTCCCCTGGTGACATTCTACAACTACTGCCATTAAGCAGTCCCACCACCTGACTGCTGTCCCCCATCCACAGTGCTCCAGACTTCTAGATCCTGCTGCCCTTCATCACATTCATCATTAACCTCTCCTTTGTACTCTCCTCTTCTATTAACCTTCTCTGCTGTCTTTCCTTTAGAAAAGCAAGATCTTCTCCACCTGCTGCTCTGTTGTCATATGTCCTGACCGGCATCTGGAGAGAACTAAGAATGACTGAGAGGAGCAGAGGTAGAAGAAATTATTACTAGATTCAGATATCTCTCTTTCTTTTTAGATTTCAACTCTAAAAAAGAACTACCACAAGGTCATCTTTAGGTAGAACTAGATATATCAGCATCTGATCCATACAAGCCACCACTTTCTCTTCCCTTCTTAACCTGCTCTTCTTACTTTCTCTGAGGATGAGGATAACAGGATCTGTCAAATCTGTTTCCCTGATTCCATTCCCCCTCAATCAGTTCTTAGTCTTGCCTTCTCAGTTCACTTTCCCAAATGATGTATTTCCACTACGGACAACAAGCAATCCCACTTCTTGCTTGCTGGACCTCATCCTATTAATAGTTCTCCAGCACCTACTCCCCTTCATGACATCATCTATCATAAATAGCTCCAAACAAACTATCACTGCTTTCTGTATCATAACTAAGCTGATGACACCCAACTCATCTTCTGTATTCCACTCAGTTTCTACTCCCATCACAACATCTCATCATGAATGGCAACCCATCACCAGAAGCTGAATCCCATCCAGACTGGGCTGCTATACATCCCATTGTATATCTTTGTATTTTGGTACCGGCTGATTCCTGGCACTGTCTTACTTCATTGGTTTCTTTGAACTGTAGCTTATTCACAGAAATACAAGTAGATAAAAACATGCTTTGCTTTCAGCCAGTACACTCATATGTAGTTAGGGTTTATCTGGAGTATCCCATCCTGCGCTTTTTATCATTTTCCTGTTCTCAAACACCCACTTCAACTCAGCAAAGAGGTAATTTGTTGGATCAGGTGTGCTGGGAGCAGAAAAAACATCAAATGTGCAGAGCATGGGAGGCTCCAGTACCATGGTTGAACCACTGAATTATGAGAACTGAAGCTATTAGTTTGATAGCAAAACAATGTTTAAAAAAGTTATGATCTTCACAAGTTGAATACTAGTCTTACCTTTCTTGTAGTTTTTGAAAATCAATATGTCTAATTTGTGAAATCACTTCTGCTCCAGTTTTAAGAAGGTTCACTATGAATGTTTCCACAGTGCTGTTGGATACAAAGAAAGATAAATGTTAATATATCAAGTTAGATCAATCATTTTTTAACATCTTAAGTACTCACACTTGCAGAGGAATTCAACATATTTATTATTTTATTAAAAAAAACTAAATTTCTCCAAGAAATTTGAACGGTGCAAAGATATTACCATTTATTTACTGTGAATAATGCCAATGTGCCAACTGAAACAAGACTAGCTGTCCAAATGTATGATAACTTTTGGGCATTTCACACCAGCCCACCATTCTGAGGCAGGGCACCACCAATCACAAATCTTAAATAAACTGCATTAGAATATAGAACTAAGTCTAGAAATGGTACATTTTCAGTCACTGTTTCAGGCAGCCAGCAATAATACTGTATATTCTAATAAACTGCTGTATATTCAATATAAGTCTCTAATCCTGAGTCATTATCAAATGATTTCATAACTTGTTCTGATTTTGTTCTCTACACTCGTGTTTTGATTTCCTCCTTCTTTTGTGAAATCTCTCATTCATGCAAGAGAAAATATAGTAAAACTGACAGTATCTGCTCCCATCAAGATACTGTAAGTTATTTGCTATTGATAACCAGCAACAGGTGATAGATGTACTATCCTGATCAAATCTGGTATCACAGATTACAATCATTCTGTGGGAAATACTTCCCAGAGATGTAAGGTAGAAAAAAATGAGGTAGGATATGTATTCTTACCTGGTGGACAGAAGGTAACAGAGAAACTCCAAGGGATCATTTCTGACTGATGGAGCTCCAGGAAAGTAGTGTGACTCCACAGCTCTGTGAGAAACAAAGGAGTTTAAATAAGTGATGTTACTAAAGAAGCATTTAAAACTTAAAGTAAAACTAACTACATGTTACGTCACGTACATCTGTGTGTATATAATCCAACTTGCTGATAACAGTACTGTCATCACTGTTGCTATTAGCAGAAGTTACTGCTAGTGACACTAACTTATAAGGATATGACATTTGCAGTACAATTCAAACAAGGTGAAAAGTGTTCCTATGGAATTTAACTCAAGAAGAAATCAACTGTAAGAGGAGCAAAATACTCACCCCCAGACCTCATTCCATTGTTCTTTTTGAATGACCCCTTCTAACATGTTCACAGCTCTGTTTAAGATATGATGGGCTGTGGTTATAATCCTGTTTCGATGTAGGCTTGTACTTTCAGATACACGTTAATTTAAAAAAAACATCATCACCAGCAATAACAAATGCATGGTGCAATTACATATTTCACATTTCACACTTGTAGATTATCGGGAATAAAAAAAGAGACATTCTGTCAAAATAGTGGATTCTATACTTTCAATCAACATCAGAACTTGAATTTGTCTGTAGGTTCATTTTGATTTGATTGTTCTGTTTCATAGTGCTTAACGTTTCCACTTAACAACCAGCACCACGGCATCTGCACAGATGAGACACATTGGTTATGTACTTAAAATAGTGAGAAAAGTTATCTGTTCATGTGCTTTTAAACAGAAGTTGAATTTTCTTTTAAATAATAATAATAAATAATAATATTAAAATGTATTCACCCCATGGAAATTTTGGAAATGAAAAAAAAAAAAACTTTGAGCAAATTACAAAACCGTGATTAATTATTTTAGTCGTTTGACAGCCCAAATACGTAACTGAAGTAAAATAATGTTTCAGATTTCAGAGTAACTGAGCAATGAGAAAGAGATCTTACGGTAGATACTGTTGAACACCCTTCTCTGTTGCTAGAGAATGGATCATCTTTTGTAGGTCATCTTTGTAGAACAGAAGTAGTCTTCGGATGGTGCTGTGAATTAGAAACATCCATCATGAAGCATAAAGCTCAGATTTACACTATGCTGCGCTGTACCACTGTTGGAATAACCATTTTTACAGGATAAATAAAAAAAACACTTTCTTGACTTTCAATATAAGTTAATGGAATGATTTTATTCCAAGTCTTTTTGGACCATTTCATTTGGTCCATTCATCATGAAATGTTTGACCCCACGCAAAGGGCAGCTGATGTTTTCAAATTATTTTATTCCGACAGTGGCAATATACTAGTACAATTCTATTCTACTAGAACTAAATTTAGAATAGAATTATGGATGCATTCAAATTCCACTTTTCAAAACTAAATGCACCAGTTGCATTTTAAATTGCACTACTTTTTTCAATTCCAGTCAGTAGTTAATGTTTAATGTTTAAGTGGCTAACTGGAGTACGCTTAGCAAAAATTAGCATGTGAAGCTGTCATGGCATCGATCATTATCTATCATGATTATTACCTGTATTGGTAACATGATGCTGTTATATTGCTAAACAAAATCTGTCATGATAACTCACGTCATGATGATAGCATACATTATCTTCCATGACATGTTTAAGGCAGTGTTATGTCAAAGTTATATAGCAGGGTTCAAGTAAAACATCACCTTGGTTTCTTGTGAAATGTATAGCATAACCCCGCCCCCCCGGCATAAATAACATGCTACGTCTCTTTTCACATTTTGTGAATGGAACTGGGAGGTTGGGGGAGGTGAAGGCAGTCTGACAGAACATTTAACAGAACTAAACTGTCTACAGATGTAACAAGTGAGTATCTCTGGGAGCGTTGTTGACAGCCATTGAGACCTGCCAGAAGGGAGCGACAAGCATGGCAGAGCTCATGTTCAGTACTTTGAGCTACACTGAAAAAATGAAAAACTATACTATAAAACAATTTTATTATTTTCTCAGTATTAATTGCAATGAATTGTCTATCATCAATTGGTCTTTAAGTTTAGGTTGTAACACATTAGTCATTTTTTAAAATGTTCCTCTTCATCTAAATTCAGCAGGTTGGACTTACCGTGCTGCTACAATCATATCATCCTGCATTCCTTTACCTCGTTCCTCTACACTGATTCTGTTCGCTGTCTCTTTGAAAGAATTCCAGTGACCTTGGATTGCAATTCTGTAAAAAAAAAAATCAATAAAAAAAAATCAATGGAACGGTTAATCATTAATATTCTGCTTTAATTCAAGCAGTATAACAAAATTGGGTCAACTATTTAGTTTTTACCTGGTTGTTCTCAGCTGGTTTTCTCTCACCATTCTTTCAGTTACATCTCTGACTTTGTCCAACCAGTTCAAAAACACTTGGGCCCCGAATTCCAACATTTTTTCAACATTTTCATAATCTTTCTCTGACATCTTAAAACTCTCCCCTCCTTCAAAAAACAGTGTAAAACATGTATCATTCATTTACATTATATAATAACACATTTAATTGAGAAATTTAGCGTGCTTAATAATGCCTTGTGAGTAAAATAAGTCAATTACAAAGAATGTCTGTAGGGGTTTCTATGGTTAAAGTTCAGGGAAATCCTATCACTGATCCACATTTCACTCCTCATATGGTTCTAGTTTACATACATTGTTAGACTAAAAGTTTAATCCATATTAATAATGACAAATACAAGTAGCAGTGCATTTGCAGTTGATCTTGTGTATCTCATACAATTTTAAAGAATAGCAGCTTAACAATTATAATCCACAAAATAGACAACAAATAACTTCTCAAGGGGAACAACAAGAATTTGAATGTCCACTTGCATGTTTCACAAAACATATTTCACTAGCTAGTTTCTCATCCACACTCTTCTAAAATGCATCAAAATATTTTTATTTTTAATATTTTATATTAATATTTTTTATTATGTTAAAACCATCTATTGTGAAAAGATTATATTGTGAACATAGCCTCTGAGATGTGCTATTGTAACACCTCTCTGGAATGAATTCTAGCAGTTCTGATGTGCAACATCATAGTAAAATCATTATAACTCACCACACGAGAGAAGTAGAGCAAGACTCACAACAGCCACAAGTTTACCCATCCTGAAATAACTGCATAGAAAAAATAAACATAAAGCAAAACAATTTATAAAAAGCTAAACTTTAGACATTATAATTACGTTAAATAGCCAAAGTGTACCAGATCTGAATGAGCTTTAGGTTACTTACAACATGTACGTGACCAGAGTGGACTATACTGTCAGTCAGTGACCCCTCGAAAAAAGCAGTAAGTAAACAGATTTCTGATAGGAAGGATGGTGCATAGACAAGACAGATTACTTGCAGGAAAAAATGCAGTGAAAGCAGAAATAAATCAATATTAGATGTACTTCAAATCTTAATGTGCATTGCAAGAAGGTGATAGAATGATTTTAATTAATTACATATTATCCATATTTCTAGGGCTGGGAAACATGACAATATTTATGGCAAGAAGGCAAAAAGGATGATAACCAAGATATAACTACAGAGAAATAAGACTCACACTTAAAAGTACAAACCACAAAAAAATCGCAAAGAGCTATTGTTCAGCTTTCCTTATAAAGCCAATTAAATACACTACTGAAATACAGGTGTGCAAAAGGCCTCTCAGAATTGTGGTGACAGAGACCTCTTGAGGCGAAGAGAAGAATCTCCGGGGGTTTATGTGACAGAACCCCCCCACCTGATGGGCGGCACCCGACATGGACATCTCCTCCTCCTCGTCTACTGCAGTGACATCTGAAGGTTCATAGGCACAAAGGCACGTAGGAGGCTGGAAGCCAAAACCACACTGAAAGGGTGTCATACCTGTGGAGGTGCTTCTCAAAGAGTGCTGGGCATATTCAGCCAATGGTAGAAGACGTGTCCAGTCTCCCTGTAATCGGCCACAAAAAGAACATGATAAGCGCCCAATTTCTGTGATTCAAGTGTTTAAATACTCCATTAGATTGAGAACAAGCGAGACTGGGATTGATGTTAAGCATGTTACAACAATCCCTCCATACCTGTGATGTGAATTGAGTCGCCTTATCTGAAATAATGTTTTCTGGTAAGCTATACAGGTGAAATAACTGGCAAGAATCTTCTTCAACTTTAGCATCTTTCCCTTCAAAAGTATCCAGAAAGTGCTATCAAGTTGGGGTATATTTGAAGTTGATGTTAAAGTTGAAGTTAAATTCTGATGTCACAATGGGATTTGAAGGGGGAGGAGCTGTGAATGACCTCAATTCATTGAAAGGTTTCTGAACATTTAAAATGGGAACAACTCAGAAAATGTCTTTCAGAGTGATTCTCTCTGGCCGATTAACTTCTATGACAACAGCCAATGAGGTATGTAGATCAGAATAACTTCATTTTTAATATTTCTATGAAACTTTTTAAAAAATAGCTGGAATTCATGTCACCATTGATACCCTAACAGTGGCTCTGACCTTTCATTACTATTTGGTAAGTGCTATTTGTTGGGGTAGTTTTAAGTGACTAGTGCAACTAAAGGAATTTGACTAAAAGGTCTCCTCTGTTCTTGGACTATGTCAATTTTAGTTCTGAATGTGACCCTAGCTCTAGCTCTCTTACCTAAATTGCATTGTAAGTGCTAACAAGTTGGGGCAACATTTGGAGACTTTTACCATCAAGAATATGGCCTATAATACTGAATAACACTGGAGAATGTATGACAAGAGAATTTGAAGTAACTGGCAGGAATCTGCTTCAACTTTAGCATCTTTCTCTTCAAAAGTATCAAGAAAGTGCTATCAAGTTGGGGTATATTTTTGACCAGAGTACTCATGCAAAAAAAGATACTTATTTATCTCAGCTAAGAAGTGTTTTGAGACCACCACAAAGTGGAGCATTGATTGTTTAATACACAGAATAAGTGCTTCTCTTTGGGGTAGTTTCATGGGCATCCTGGTCCACTCTCTGCTCAATTTAGTTCATACCCTGTAAAGCCTGTAGAGGATGCTGCTGTGCAATGAAACCTACAGTGCCACAAGTTTTTCATATGAGAAACTGTTTACAATGTAATTTTAAAACTCTGCCTTAGACTACAGTCAGCTATTTGCATAGGAATGATCTGTCTAGGTGAAAATGTCTGAAACATTAAGATGGAATATTTGCAACATGTATCAGTTCTGATGTCACAATGGGATTTGAAGGGGGAGGAGCTGTGAATGACCTCAATTCATTGAAAGGTTTCTGAACATTTAAAATGGGAACAACTCCGAAAATGTCTTTCAGAGTGACTATCTCTGGCACGATTAACTTCTATGACAATAGCCAATGAGGTATGAAAATCAGAATAACTTTAATATTTCTATGAAACTTTTTCAAAATATGTGAGCACAGCAGTTACTGAGGTAGTAAAACAGTGTAAAAACAGAATTAGCAGCAGTGTTCCAAAAGACGTGTGTATGAGTGTGTAGGGGGGGGATTTAGTTCAGTCCTTGTGAATTTAAAAACCTGATTGCTTGAGGAACAAAGCTGTTGCAGAGTCTGGCAGTGATGGCACGGATGCTCTGGTACTTTCTGCCAGACGGCAGCAGTGAAAAAAGTCCGTGTGAGGGATGGATGGGGTCGTCCACAATGCTGGTGGCTTTCCGGATACAATGTGTGGTATAGATGTCCATGATGGAGGGGAGAGAGACCCCGATGATCCTCTCAGCTGTCCTCACTATACGGTGTAGGGTCTTGTGGTCAGAGGTGGTGCAATTCCCAAACCAGGCGATGATGCAGCTGCTCAGGATGCTCTCCACGGCCCCCTTGTAGAACATGGTAGGGATGGGAGGGGGGAGATGAGCCTTCTTCAGTCTCCGTAGGAAGTAGAGGTGCTGCTGGGCTCTCTTGGCTATGGAGTTGGTGTTGAGGGACCAGGTGAGGTTCTCTGTGATGTGGACACCGAGGAACTTGGTGCTCCTGACAATTTCCACAGCAGAGCCAGTGATGTTAAGTGGGCGGTGGTCACCTCACACTCTTGGGAAGTCAACAAACATCTCCTTAGTTTTGTCTACATTCAGAGACGGGTTGTCGGTTCCGCACCAGTCTGTTAGCCGCTGCACCTCCTCTCTGTACACTGACTCATCATGCTTGCTGATCAGACCCACCACAGTCATGTCATCAGCAAACTTGATGATGTGGTTTGAGCTGTACTTTGCAGTACAGTCACCAGGGTAAAAACAGTGGACTAAGCACACAGCCCTGAGGGGCACCGGTGATCAGTGTGGTTGTGCTGGAGATGTTATTACCTATCCTGACTAACTGAGGTCTCTCAGTCAGGAAATCCAGGACCCAGTTACAGAGGGAGGTGTTCAGGCCCAGCAGGCTCGGTTTTCCAATCAGCTGCTTGGGGATGATGGTGTTGAATGCTGAACTGAAGTCTATGAACAGCATTCTGACAAAGGTCAGAGGAGGGAGGAGCTGTAAATGACCTCAATTCATTGAAAGGTTTCTGAACATTTAAAATGGGAACAACTCAGGAAATGTCAGTAAATGTCTTTCAGAGTGATTATCTCTGGCACGATTAACTTCTAGGACAACAGCCATCGAGGTATGGTGATCAGAATAACTTCATTTTTAATATTTCTATGAAACTTTTTAAAAAATAGCTGGAATTCATGTCACCATTGATACCCTAACAGTGGCTCTGACCTTTCATTACTATTTGGTAAGTGCTATTTGTTGGGGTAGTTTTAAGTGACTAGTGCAACTAAAGGAATTTGACTAAAAGGTCTCCTCTGTTCTTGGACTATGTCAATTTTAGTTCTGAATGTGACCCTAGCTCTAGCTCTCTTACCTAAATTGCATTGTAAGTGCTAACAAGTTGGTGCAACATTTGGAGACTTTTACCATCAAGAATATGGCCTATAATACTGAATAACACTGGAGAATGTATGACAAGAGAATTTGAAGTAACTGGCAGGAATCTGCTTCAACTTTAGCATCTTTCTCTTCAAAAGTATCAAGAAAGTGCTATCAAGTTGGGGTATATTTTTGATCAGAGTACTCATGCAAAAAAAGATACTTATTTATCTCAGCTAAGAAGTGTTTTGAGACCACCACAAAGTGGAGCATTGATTGTTTAATACACAGAATAAGTGCTTCTCTTTGGGGTAGTTTCATGGGCATCCTGGTCCACTCTCTGCTCAATTTAGTTCATACCCTGTAAAGCCTGTAGAGGATGCTGCTGTGCAATGAAACCTACAGTGCCACAAGTTTTCCATATGAGAAACTGTTTACAATGTAATTTTAAAACTCTGCCTTAGACTACAGTCAGCTATTTGCATAGGAATGATCTGTCTAGGTGAAAATGTCTGAAACATTAAGATGGAATATTTGCAACATGTATCAGTTCTGATGTCACAATGGGATTTGAAGGGGGAGGAGCTGTGAATGACCTCAATTCATTGAAAGGTTTCTGAACATTTAAAATGGGAACAACTCAGAAAATGTCTTTCAGAGTGATTCTCTCTGGCCGATTAACTTCTATGACAACAGCCAATGAGGTATGTAGATCAGAATAACTTCATTTTTAATATTTCTATGAAACTTTTTAAAAAATAGCTGGAATTCATGTCACCATTGATACCCTAACAGTGGCTCTGACCTTTCATTACTATTTGGTAAGTGCTATTTGTTGGGGTAGTTTTAAGTGACTAGTGCAACTAAAGGAATTTGACTAAAAGGTCTCCTCTGTTCTTGGACTATGTCAATTTTAGTTCTGAATGTGACCCTAGCTCTAGCTCTCTTACCTAAATTGCATTGTAAGTGCTAACAAGTTGGGGCAACATTTGGAGACTTTTACCATCAAGAATATGGCCTATAATACTGAATAACACTGGAGAATGTATGACAAGAGAATTTGAAGTAACTGGCAGGAATCTGCTTCAACTTTAGCATCTTTCTCTTCAAAAGTATCAAGAAAGTGCTATCAAGTTGGGGTATATTTGTTTGATCAGAGTACTCATGCAAAAAAAGATACTTATTTATCTCAGCTAAGAAGTGTTTTGAGACCACCACAAAGTGGAGCATTGATTGTTTAATACACAGAATAAGTGCTTCTCTTTGGGGTAGTTTCATGGGCATCCTGGTCCACTCTCTGCTCAATTTAGTTCATACCCTGTAAAGCCTGTAGAGGATGCTGCTGTGCAATGAAACCTACAGTGCCACAAGTTTTTCATATGAGAAAC